TACTACTCCTACTACTACTGCTACTGCTACTGCTACTACTACTACTACTACTACTACTACTACTACGACTACTACTCCTACTGCTACTACTACTACTACTACTACTACTACTACTGCTACTACTACTAGTACTGCTACTACTACTAGTTCCTCTGCTACTACGACTAGCATTGCTGATCCAGTTTAACTATTTGTTGATCAAGATTTTTCTTGATCCGTCACCCTTATGTTTTTCACTCGCCCTATTGCATAGTTACTGGCTTAATTTTTTGATCCAAATTAAGAGGTTTCTGATCCGTCATGCAGTGAAAGCCGGAATCCTGGCCAGGCACTTCCTGCGGATCTCGAGGCTTTGCCACTTTGACCTGCGGCAGCACGAAGGGGAATAACTGCAGGGTTGGATTTGAGGCTTTTCCGTGCTTCCCGATGTAGACATATTCGTGCGGTAGTTCGGCAATACGAGTTCAGGAACAATGGATAGCAGAGGTTTGAAAGCAGCGGAAGCAAGCACACCTGTAACTGGATGTCTCTGATGCACGACATGTGACGACTCGGAGTTGCCGATCCTAAGCCACAACGGTCCATTCAGGAAGAAAATCAGCGAGCTGCCCTCCGTCAAGAAGAAAGAGACAGGATCACATGCAAACAGATGGTTACGAGGGTGCTGTCCGCGATCGTGTACTTCACCGGGTCTGAGTCCATGTGGCAGGGCATGCTGGCATGTTTACATAGTTGTGTACCCTCGGAGCAAACTTTGGGATACAAGATGTTACAAGTACCAGATCAGATGACTTGCCCGTGTCTCTGCAGGATACTTCGGAGTCGAGTGGGCCATGGGGCGCAAGCCGACTGAATTCAACGCGTTTGACGTCGAGTTGCCCAAGGACACCGCCCCGATGAAACAGAAGCTCTGCAAGAGTGCAACTTTAGTTTAAGAGAGTTAGCACCACGGGCTGCAGCATTCCTTAGCATGGTCTCGCCATAAGACCCATCAACATGTAAACAGAGGGACTGTTGCTCCTAGGGTGCTTGGATGCCTTCCGGCTGTGGCAGGAGCCATTCGACCCCAAGCCGTACAAGTTGCACGTTCGCAAGCACCTCGCCTTTTGCTGGTGAGCCCATTCGGCCTGGAAGTGAAATCGGAACAGTGACGACATGAGTTCAGCACCGGCTGCAATTACGCACTGAGGTATCCTGGCATTGCCAGTGGCTTGGGGGCCGAGTATTTCTACCGTGAAGATCAGCGCAGCCCGCTGACGCAGCTCCCTCAGCCGTCCTTGTATGCGAAGCGACCACTGCGCAACACGTTCTGTTTGCCTGGATGAACCTACAAGATCAACCCTGTCCATCCTTCACACAGGAGTGCTCGCGGCTACCTTGCGAAACATCCTGACACATGTATAGGTTTGGTCTTGCAACGGACATCTAAACTCTCCGATTGCAGTTTCTCTGCTTGCTCACATGTCTGGGGGGAGCTGTCAAGCCTATCTATCTATTTATCTATCTATCTATCTATGTATATATATATACATGTATGCGCACATGTGTGTATATATATATACGTACATATATATATATACATATATATATACACACATATATATATATACATATTCATTTTCATTTGTTTATTTATCTTTGATTGACTGATTTATTTATTTGTTTATCCATATGTATTTTAAATACCTTCTCTGCAAAACATACAAAGCATAATCCGAAGTTCGGCACGCGAGAGCCTGAGCTTTTTTGGGCTGGCAGCCTCCTGAAGCGAAGCACAAAGAAAGCGCTCTGTCCTAAAGGGTCCCAGGTAGGGTTCAGGGTTTAGGGTTCCTTTCCCAAATCATGCTACTGACGCTGGTTCCTAATGTAGGAACCCATTAGGGTTTAGGGCTCAAGGGTCCGATTTTTAAATTTTTTGTTAGGTACTGTGGATCCTCTGGGTGTGGAGACTCGCCCGAGGTATTACCACCTTCGTTGCCCTGCAGCCGGCGACACGGCCGCTCACCTGTGGAAAGGGTTTGGAAACTGGAAGTAGTATAGTATTGTATGTAGATGGTATGGTATAGTATAGTATAGTATATTCTACTGGCATTCTTTGGGGCTCCTCATTGTCCTAAGCTGTCGTTATTGTCATGCTGTTGCTGAGCACTCCAAGCACTCCAGAGGTAAACGCTTCAGACCCCAAGCTTGCCTGCCCTTCTGTTACTCGGATTTGTTCCGGAGACTGGTCCCGGACTTGCTGTTGGGATCGGGCTGTGGGTGAGTTGATTGGTATTCGTCTTCACACTCTAGAGAGCCCAGCTGTTTCAGGCAAGCCACTCAGCATAGTAGACCCCAAACCCTGAACCCTAAACACGGTGTGTATTGTCTTGCAACCTTAGCAGATGATCAGGTGCTGGTGGGTGCCACCGATGCCCGAGCCATCCAGGCCAGGACGATTGACAACTACGTCAAGGAGCGCTGGCTTACTATCTTTCAGGTTCAGGTTTATAGGGGCTTAGGGATCTAATGGCTCAAGATCTTGGGGCTCCAATCCAACCGTTTGGAAAACATTGTCCAGCTTTCGCTGGTATGGATGTCTCAAACGAAGGCAAGGTGGAGAAGACATGCACACCCTTAGCCCTAAACCCTAAACCCACAAAGATTTACGTCTCATGGCTTCTCAGCCCCAAGTGGGGCTTCTGGCCGCCTGCACCATTACTGTACTTACCTCAACAGACTCTCCAAGAAAGCCCACGGGGCTGGGGCGCCGTGCATTTCAGCAAAACCCGTAGATCTCCAGAAATCTTACACAAGCTTAATACTCATTGAACTTCTTACTAGAACACCATGCAGCGCTCGAGACGCCCCGATACGCCTATCACGATCCTTGCGAAATCGAGCCCTCTATGACCGGCTGCCCTCCAGGAGAGGACACGTGGCTTTGCCGTGCAACTGATTCTGGAGGGTCGAGGTGGGGTTTGGGGTTTGGGGCTTGGAGTTTAGGG